AACTTCATTGTTTTCCCCTTTTACAGGCCTGTTGAGTGGAATAATAAGGATGGTATCAAGTGCTCCAATGAAACAAGACCGGTGAAGAAGAGAGGGCATTGGGGATCCGGGTCCGATAAACGGATAATGAAGGTGGTGGGAGATGTAATAGGGAAGATGAAGGTCCCTATAACAGTCCTTAATGTTACACAATTATCAGAATATAGAGTTGATGCACACACCAAAGTATACACAGAGACAGGAGGTAAATTGCTGACTGATGAGCAAAAGGCTGACCCTTTGCATCATGCTGATTGTATACATTGGTGCTTGCCTGGTGTTCCTGATACTTGGAATCAAATTTTCCTAGCTCACTTGTGAAAGGGTGTAACCTATTAAAACTAAAAATGGTTACATGTAATATAATTTTTTTCCTCGATCAATAGCATTTTCCATTCTCTATTACTCCGCTTCTTAATATTACTTGTGTTTACAGCTTTGGACAAATTTTGCAATGTAAGATGATCGATCATTTTTGTCTAAGGGATGGTACCAAGATTAAATGGGTAAAGATTATGCGTCTCAAAGAAATACAAGTATAAGAAAAGAAAAAATTAAAGATGTTGGTAAAAGACAAGTTGATACTAACAATCGATCAATAGTAAAAATGCAATTAAAAGAGAGAGAAATCAAACTTTAAAAGAAGTACATATTCAATTAGTAGTGATTAGAGTTATCAGTTTCTAACCCAAATCGTTAAATTCGACTGTTTTGAACCGATTCGAAAAGGAACTAAACCATTAAAAATCCATTGTTTGAAAATCGAAAACCGACCAGACCCAATTTTTCCTAACCCGAAACTGAACTGAACCGAATTTATGCGAACCGTTAATCACCCGACCCGTTATCAAGCCAAACTGTTACAACCTGAAACTGACAACAAACCAAATCAACTATGTCTAAACCCGATAGTAACCCGACCCATTTTAAACCGAAAACCGTTTAAACCCGGCAAAAATCCGATAAACCTGAATCGGTCCAACCCGTAACCCGTTGTGACCGAACCGTTTTGAACCTGTAACCCGTTGAGACCGAATTGTTTACGATCCATAACCCGTTGAGACCGAACCGTTTACGACTGGTAACCTGTTATGATTGAGTCGTTTACAATCCGTAACCCAATATGTTTATAATCTGATCCTTTCAACCCACTACTTGATAAACCTAACTTATATATGACTTAACTTGATTATAACATGATCCATTCCTCCCTATTATCTGACTAACTCGATTCGATAATGATCCGACTCGATTTTAACCCAATATGTTTTGGACTGAAACCCGCTTTAAATTGGGTAAACCCGTTTTCAAACTGACCAAGTTCAATCCAAACCGATTATGACATGAACCGCTAATGATCGGACTCTGTTTTACCCGATCTGTTTTGAACCGAAACCCATTTTGAAACTGACCCAGTTTAATCCAAACTAATTATTGACCCGAACCGATTACAACCGATCCGATTAGGACCCAAACTGTTTGAACCAAAACCCACTTTACAGTGGCTAAACTCATTTTCAAACCGACCCGATTCAACCCAAACTGATTATGACCCGAACCAACTACAAACCGATCCGATTAAGACCCGACCCAAATGGAAACCGTAGTAAAAAAATAAAAAAATAAAAATAAAAAAACCAAACCGAACTGACCCGATAATTTTCAAAATCGACCCAAACCGACCCGCTAATATTTTCAACCTGTTATAATCCGAAACTAATAAACCCAACCCAAACCCGAACTATTTACCCGAATTGACACCTCTAGCAGTGACTATATGATAAGAGAATAAGCACTGAATTACAATTGGTGGGGATTAGATCCTATTTACAGCAAACAAACAAAAGTGTAAGACTAGAGTTACTAGTGTAAAGTTATTATATACTCCCTCTCCCTTAATTTATTTTTGCCCCATTGTCATTCTTTGGGTTAAACTTTGACCGTAAATTACCGTTAATTTATAATAGTTATTATAGTCGTGTGTGTTCTTGTTAGACTCGACTCATTGCATATTTTATTAATATCATATTTTTATAATTTTTACGTGTATGGAAATGAAGATATGTACGTTCAAAGACGCGTCTTGGAAACCGTGAAAAGTCAAATAGGGCAAAAAATAGGGACAGAGGGAGTATGGGTTAACAATTACTCGGTAGTATACATTTTAAATTATGATTTAATCTTTTCTGATCCAAAATGAATTAAGATGTGCATGCCAAGTCATGAGTCGAGCCTTGACCCCCCCTTTTTTAAAAGCACAACAAGATCTAGCATGACAAAGCATGCTAAAATAAGTTAAATGTGGCATAGGCGCGCAAGTACAATACAGTTAAGCATTGTAATACCTCGTATGTTTATAATATTTTATATAAATAAATTATTTATTTTATTTATAAATTAAAATGATTCATTTCATTTTAAATGAATTAATTATTTAAATATAAAATAAGTGTGTATAAAATAATATGAGTTATTAATTGAGGGCAATAAATTATTTTAATTTGGATCAACATCAATTAAATTATTGGGAATCAAAGAATTCTTTAGAGCCCAACAAGTTGACCTCAAAGGAGAATTCAAGGAGAAGTAGGATTAGTAATGACAGTTTTGTAAATAAGTATTTTTGTTTAAAAAAAGGGATATAAATACCCCAAAACCTCAAGAATTTCACACTCAAGAATCAAATTGTCATATTTTACAAAACCCCAAATTTTTCCTCTTATTTTTTTCTCTCCTTTTTCCTCTCTTTTTCTCTCTCTTTCCCACGCCCCTCTCTCCTCCTCCCCACACACCATCGGCGACCACCGCCGGCGGCCAACAGCAGCACCGGCGACCACCAGCTGTCGCCGCGCGCCCTCCTCTCTCTCCTCTTTTTGGCGGTTTGGTATTTAAAGAAAAAAAAACTCTTTTCTCCTAATTTAATTTTAAGTTGTTTTAATGAATTCAAAGCATGATTTTGATTATATTTTGATGTTGATTTTGGATAGTTGATGTTACTAATTTATTCCTATAATTTTCATATTTTAATTTAATCGGATCTCCTCACGTGCCACTCTAAGATAAGGCAACAAGCTAATTCCTCCTAAAAAAGAAAAGGAAAAACAAAACTTATCAAATATGTTACACAAAGATCGAACACTACCAACCCCAATTTTTATCAAGTACCCCTGGCCTAAAAACTAATTACAGAGATGAGCATCAATATTTAAATGGAGCAAAATTCCAATGGAGAAACATGGAGGAGAATGAGTGAGAAATTACTAAAAACTGACAACCATTCACTTAAATTCACACAAAAATAATATTGAATAAAGAGAAAATGAGAAATTGCTTGAAATTATCATGCTCTGTAATGTACTAATGTGATTTGTTCTTCTTTCTCGTGCTGCTTCAATGGAATTTGGAGGAGAGAGTGAGAAAGTAGGGAGGACTCAAAGGAACTTTGACTCCATAATAAACACAAAGTTTCCTCTTTGTATATATAAAGTTACCCCATTATACATATAAAATTACCCTTAACATAATAAAAGTCACCCCATTATACATATAAAGTTACCTCTAAAATTACAAAAGTTACCTTTTAAAATTACAAAAGTTACCCAAAATTTATTCTTATACTCACAAAAGTTACTCATAAAATCACATAAGTTACCTATAAGGCCAAAGTTACCCATAATTTAAGAAAATTTTACCCATAAAAATGTAGAAAAATCGACAATGTAATATAAAAATAAAAAATTACATTACAAATTTAGAAAATATAACTTCTATTCTTTCGTTTAAAACTTTGAATAGTAAGGGCAGTTGTCTTCTTCGTAAGATTAACATAAATAAACAAAAACATTAATTGAAAAAAAAGTAGATGAACAAAGTAACAAATATCAAATTTGGTTTTAGAAAAACACAAAAAATTAAAATAACAAATTTAAAGTTGGAAATCAAGATGATATTGCAAATGGAAGACAAAGAATGCTATAGTTCAGCAATGGAGAGGAAAGAGAAAAAATTCAGGAGAGAGAGTTTTTGAAAGTGGGAAAATAAGGAAAGAGAAGTAAGAGTTTATATATGGGAGGGGGATGAGAGAGAAAGAAAGGAGAGAGAAAATGGAAATGTTTCCATAACATCGAGTAAAAAAATAAGCTGATATATTACTCACATGTGTCAGCCCAAACTCAAATACCTACATTTGCTTAATATGGGCCGATTTACAGTGAGTTTATTGTAACCCGGATGTTTTTTTAAAGTTTGTCCATCTTTAATGTATAACAAGATTAACCCGCAACATTGTTAGTATAATCATCATTATTATATACTTCGTAATTAGTTTCATTCTTATCTAGCTCAACTCCCGTATCTATATCTATATTACTTCATATTATTTAAGAGTGGCTTCAATAAGGGGGAGCAAACCTCTAATACTCCCCTCTCATGAAAACGTGGTTAGCTAATCATACTAATTTAATAGTTTTTTAGTTTGAAAATTCAGTGTATTGGCACGAGCATAAACTAGTTTACTAATTTACATAGTACTCCCTCCGTCTACTGATACAAAGCCTCATTTCCTTTTTGGGTAAACCAAAATACAATGGTTCTTTCTATCTAAAGGATGTATTTTTTGACATTATTACCCTCTTTTTGATAAGTTGTCATCTTTTTTCCTTTACTTTTTTGTACTTTTAACATCAATTTTCAACACTTTTTTTCTCTATCTCTTCAATTATTTCCAACCACTTTTTCTTTCTCTCTATCTCTCTCTAATCCTACATGCACATATATATCATTAGTTTTAAAAAATTTACAACTTTCTTAATTCCTGCCCAAAAACCAAAAAAGAAGTTATATTACGGGACAGAGGGAGTAATTTACTCCGTACTCTGTAGTTCATTTAAGATCGATAAACGGGTTAATACGGCCAAATACAACCATATTCGAAGATGAGGGTCTGACCCGTTTATACCCAAATACAACCATATTCCATATATAAACGACGACTCACCGCCTTTAGCCGTCTTCCCTTTGCAATTATAGTACATTCTGGTGAGTTCCAGAACTTAGGGTTTCTGAATCTTGACTTTATACCTCTTCGCAGGTGAATTTACTCTCTCAATCCTTTCTTCTCTCTCCTCCCAATCGAATCTTATTCATCGTTAATTGTTGATTTTTTTTATCTCTTCTGCTCTGAAAATCTAATCGATTATTCCTAATTTTTTCGTTTGTGAAAACCCTAATTGTTTCCAATCGTCGATTTTTACTCTGTAATTTGCAGCTTAGTTATGGCTGGTTTTAGTGTTGGAAGATTGATTTCCTATGTCGCCAATCAACTCATCGTTGATGGTCTCGCTAATAGGTATCGAATCTCTCCCCCCTTTCGTTTTTGTGCGATTTCCCTATTCCTATGAATGTCGCATGATTTTACTTAAAAATTGCAATAATTCGTGGTATTAGTTTATTTTGCATTATCTAATCCGAAATTTTTAGAAATTTATGGTTTTTTGAATGATTGTGATGTTGTTATATTTTTGTTTGTATTTTTTTTTTATTGATGATTGATAAAGATGAATGTTGTGGATTCAGAATGTTTTAATTTTTGATTTAGTGCTTTCGTAGATTACCCGAGATATTTCAATCTGTGCAATACTTCCTGAACATTATATGAGAATTGGTTTGCTGATTTTGTGTTTGTTATCAAATGTCATTGGATCGTTTCCTATTAGAATCTGATTAAGCTTCAACTGGTTGGCTCAATAGAATTTTTCAATTTCCTTATGGGCTTTCGTTGAAGCGAAATATGTCTCAAGACTTTCATAATTTTGCTATTCTGTAGTACATTATAGCTTGAATGGTTTTGAGTAAATTGTTGTACTTTAGAAGTAGTATTTTAAGATTATAAGATAAGTTGAATTTATTGTATTGTGGCTTCTAGCTTGAGGTCATGATTTCTCAGAAGTTGGGAACAGTTCGCTGAATCAATGTTTGTTTTGGAATGTTAATCCATTCTTTTTTGTTAGAATTTAATTAGGCTTTTAACTGGTTGGCTCAATAGAATTTTTCAGTTTCCTTATGAGCTTTCGTTGAAGCAAAAGATCTTCGAGACATTCATTTTTGCTAGGCTGCAGTATAATATGACTGGTTTGCTGTAGCTTGAATTGTTTTGAGTATATTTTACCTAAAAAACAGCCATTTTGGGTGAATTGGATGAATTGATTTCCATTTGTAGTGGCTTTTAGTTTTTTCACTGCTTTGCTGATTTATTCCTTTGGGAATGTTTCTTTATTTTTCCCTGTTTTAATCTTGCCAAGCTTCAACTGGTTGGCTCAGTGGAATTTTGCGGTTTCTTTATGAGCTTTTGTTTAAGCGAAAGATGTAAGTGATTGAGTGGTGTTGAATTTCTTGTGCATTTATTTAAAAGCAAATTTTATCTACCAAGTCAGTAGTTTGTTAATTTTTTCTTGGGAATGTCATTTCATTGTTTTCTTGTTACTCCCTCTGTCCCATAATATAGTTTCTATTGTGTTTTTTTCACGGTATTTAAGAAATGGGAGGAGAAGTAAAAGAAGTACATTAAAAGTGGAAAAAACCTAGACAAAAGTGCAAGGCAAGCGAATAATTTTAGGAGAAAAAAGTGAAAAGTACAATTATAGATAAAAATTAGGGAGAGAAAGTGGAAAAAAGTACAATGCAAGGGGATAATTTAAGGGTAAATTAGGAAGTTCATAGAATAAAGTTAAAAAAAATTAGGGTATAATGGTGTTTACATACTATCCAAAAATAGAAACAGGAACAACATTTTGGGTCTCCTAACTAGGAAAACAGAAACTAATATTGTGGGACGGAGGGAGTAGAATTTATCTAAGCTTCAACTGGTTGGCTCAATAGAATTTTCTGTTTTCTTTATGGGCTTTCGTTGAAGCAACATTTTTATCAAGGCTTTTATCTTTGCTTATCATGCAGTGTTAGCTGTTGTGCTGGAGCTTGAATGGTTTTGATTATATTGTTTCTTGAAGTTATTGTATTGAATGTATAGGCTGATTTTGCTGAAAAATATATTGCTCATTTAGACTGTACAGAGTATGTTGCTGTAGAAGATTATTATTGGTTCACGTTTATATTTCATCCAATGTCACTAAACCTTAAACTAATTTGTTCAAGCACTTTTCACCGCTTTTGTTACTCAGCATGTGTGTATGCCACTGGCTCTCTCTCTTTAAATTATGCATAATGTGTGCTGCTTGCTGTCCTTTTCTTCTCTTGCTAACTAATTTATTAATTGGTATATACTGAATCTGTAATTGAAGGATAGTGTTTGACTTTTGCCAATGTTAAGAATTTATGGTTTGGAACTATGTGAATATGTTATCAATTATAGTCGGTGCTTCTTTCTCTGGCCATCAGGATCTTCCATTTCCTGAGTGACTCGTTCATTTGAAGCTATAGTAAAAGAAGAAGCATCTTTTAGTATCCAGCTGCAGGATAATAATTAATACAATCCTGTTGCAGCTCACTAAACTTCTCCAAAATTTTTGCATTTACAATTTTCTGTTCTTAAAAACTAGGGGATGGTTTTAATCTCATTGTGTACAAAGTGTATCACTAGCTAGTGATTTCTTGATGGTTGAACTACTTTATCGTCTTCATTCTATACGTATGTGTGGTGTTTAGGGGTCATTCTAATGGTGTGAATTTGTATTTCCAGTCACGCATTCCAAAGATTTGCTGTCAGGACCAACAACAAGCTGAAAAATATCTCTAAACTTGGTAAGGCAACTTTGCATCTATAATTTTCATTTTGTAGTTTCTTTTATTTTATTCTCAGAATGTTAAAGTAATTGCTTTGATTTAATTACAGCTGAAGAGAAGAAAATAGACATTACTCAACAATTCAAAGAAATTTCAAATGAAATGAAGGAGGTTAGTGAATGATTCAATGGTGTGCCATTTTGCAAATGTTACAATGTTTAGTACTATATCAATGATCTCTTCCAAATTATTTGCAGACATTGAAGAAATGAACATGGTATTGGAGCTAACTAGTCTTGTTTCGCACCCAGGCTCTACCGCTCTACACAGCTTGAATAGTGATTTCTGATCCGAACTATAGTTGATGTATTATAATGTCGGACATCTGTTCGATTTGACTGGGATCATGAATGTGTTTGACATCTTTTTTTAAATAAATACGAAGTGAATAGTAGTGAAATGTTGCGTATTATGGTGTATATTTTAACGCCAAATGTTTGGAGGCAATTTTTAAATTGGATCAAATAAAGAAATTAGTATACTGTGGATAATTTGTATATTGTCTATAATTTGTAGTTACCTACCAGACTCCTTATATTCCTACTAAACTCGTACAAGTATTTACTTTGTTCAAATATTTATACCCTTCATTTTGTTCATTTTTTGCTCGGTTGATTAATAACCACATCAACTGTTTTGTCACTATGCATGCTCGATATACTGTCAACTTTTGACACTAAGCGTGAGTTTAATGGAAAACTATTGGCGGGTAGGCTTTATATATTTTGCAACAAATAGGATGGCACAGTCGTAAATATTAACAAAGGTATAAAGTACCACTAAATAGGTAAATAGTATCATTAAATAGTGTGATGGTATAAATATTTTTCTAATGGTACAAACAAGAATGTTAGGATCGGGATCCTACCTTGGATCGATGAGTCGAGGTGGAGAGGGAATGGGATGTCGGCGTAGGGAAAAAACGGTTGGTGTGCCGACAGGGGGTTTTGGTTGTGGGGGGTTGCTGGAGGGGTGGAGAAGCTGGGGCTGCTGGAGGGTAGGGGTATATGGTAGCATGGGCAGACTGGTTTTTTTTTTAAAAAAAAAATTTATATACAAATCGAATTGTATTTGATTAATTCGAATTATTTTTTGGATAAGCAAAAATAAATAAAGGGAGGGGTTGTGTTTTCGGGGTAAGAAAAGGAAGGAGGCAGTTTTGTGGGCTGGGGAAGTAAGGGGGCTTGTGTTTCCAAGATGAGGAAGGGAAGGGGGCGTTTTACAAGGTGAGGAAGGGAGGGAGGGTTTTTCCGGTGGGGGAGGGGGTGGAGAGGGGTGGTTCGGTGAGATTGGGGGTTTTCTTTCTTTCTTCTTCTTTTTTTTTTTTTTTTTTTTGGAATAATTACGGCTTAACACGTGTTAAATAACTTTATAATTTGATATAATAGATGCTGACTTTAGTTGACCGGTTTGAAACTAATTGGAGAAAAGCACACCTCAAAATTGAGAATATTCGAAAATTGACCAACGTTGGGATTATTAAATTGATTTTTTACTTGTACAAATGGTGAAATACATACGGAGTTCTGTATGATTTAAAGGAAACCATCGTTTCAATAATACCAACTTTTGCTCATTCGCTTCTAATAATCCCAACTTTGGATTATTATATTTTTCTGGAAAGGTATTCATTATTTTCTTCATTGATTGTCTCAATATGATAACCATTGTTGCGAATATCCTTAAAACTTAATAAATTTCTTTGAGATAATGGGGAGTATAATGCATCATTTATTTTAATTTCAGTTCCCCAAGGCAATTTTATGTTGGCTTTTCCGGAGCCTTTAATGATATTTGTACTACTCGATATGGTACTCACATTAATTCTTTTCATCATCAAATGAGAGAAATATTTTTTATTTTTAAGTATTGTATTGTATGAGTAGTTGCACTGTCAGCAAGACATAATTCTTTACCATTCATAGCAAACTGAACTTGATTAGTAGTATCCATATTGTTCATGAAATAAAATACATGTCAAAATATTAAGCATAAAAATAATGATGATAAAATAAATAAATCAATAAAAACGCCCAAATAGTTCATAAATTCATAAAGCAAAAGTTCTTATTACAACCATAGAAATTAACATAAGTAAATCACTAGATGAAGTCTAATACTTAAAACTGACACAAAATAATATAAATTTAATTATTCCCTTATGGGACATTGAAGAAATTAGCAACTTCTAAATGAGTTGTATTGCAAAAATCAAAATTATTCCCTTCCGAGGAAGTAAGGAAATCAACAACTTCTAAATGATTTGCATTGCCAAAATCAAAATCACCTTCACCATCTTCAAGAACAAGATTTGCCTCAACTTTCTTTCCTTTCTTCAATGATTCTTGGTAAAGTTCAACAAGATGGTTTGGGGTTCTACAAACCCGAGACCAATGGCCTTTTACTCCACAATGGTAACATATATTGGTCACACTTTTCTCTTTATCAACTTTATCATCTCTACATTCCCACTTCTGGTGGGAATGTGAGTTTGTGAAATGACCTCCACGACCTCTACCATATCCACTAAATCCACGCGCATGACCACGACCGCGCCATTGGCCACGACCGCGAGCAACCTCACCTCGACCACTACTGCTGGAATGGTCTCTGTTTTTAGTTTCTTTCTTGTTATGGGTTGTCACATTCGCGTCAGGGAATGGAGTAAAGCCAGTAGGATGTGATTCATGATTTTTCATTAATAGCTCATTATTTTTCTCAGCCACAAGGAGACAAGATATTAATTCAAAATATTTTTGAAAACCTTTTTCTCTATATTGTATCCGCATGACAATATTATTTGCATAGAAAGTGGAGTATGTCTTTTCAAGCATTTCTGCATCAGTAATATTTTCTCCACATAATTTCAATTGAGAAGTTATTTTGAACATAGTTGAGTTATATTCACTAACAAATTTAAAATCTTGCAATCTTAAATTCAACCAATCATAACGAGCTCTAGGGAGTATCACTGTTTTTTGGTGGTCATACCTTTCCTTTAGATTACTCCAAAGGATTTGTGGGTCTTTCACAGTTAAAAATTCATTTTTGAGCCCTTCATAGAGGTGATGGAGAAGGAAAATCATGGCTTTAGCCTTATCTTGAGGTGTTGCCTTATTAGCCTCTTTGATTGTTTCACCAAGCCCTTTAGCATCTAGGTGTATTTCAGCATCTAACACCCATGATAAATAATTCTTTCCAATGATATCAAGGGCCACGAATTCAAGTTTGGCAAGGTTCGACATTTTCACTATATAAAATAATATTCAAAAATTAGATCTCATAAAATATCAAACATATACATATCAAAACATAATGGTTGATAAAAGTGTTAATATGTAATTGCAAAATAAATAAATAAAATTAAGCATTACTATTATAACCGAATGATGCATAATATAAAGGCTAATGATATTAAGATCCCATATTATTGTTAATTTAACTATGCAAGATAAACATATATACTTAATCAAGCAAGCGAATTATAATTAGAGATAGAAACACTTATCAAGAGTAATGCATGAATCAAAAGAAAAATGTTGAAATACCAAAAATAAGCCATGATAGTAAATTAAATCAATAGCAATCATGATAATATATAGTAGAAAATACTAGTGTACTCATAGTTGGTAATCAAATTATGAATTACAATAAGGTCATTGTATTATAAAGTCTTAACATTCTCTTAATATATTATATATTTATGATAATGATGGTATATCATCACATACTCCACTAATTAAATCAACAAAATAAAAACTATCATATATATATATATATATAGAAATGGGATCATGTGAGAACCCATAGCTTAGGTGAGAACCATTTTAAAATGAGAACTCATCTAACACCATTCATTTTTATTAGATGAATGGTTCAGATTTATTGTTTCATTAGTGGGAATTCACGTGGGCCACCTTCATTAATTGTAATGATTGTTTGTATTTTTTTTTTAATTTTTGTGCATTGGGACACAAAATCTGTCAAAAGCTGTTATTATTACATGCTTTTTATTATTTATTGCATTGAAACACAAAATGTAGTTGAAGTGTACGTCGTAAATGATGTTTCGTAAAATATATCAAGTGTTTTAAATTATAATATTAATGTTTCATATATATTATTGCCTGTTTCATATAGTTGGGCTCTATATGAACTAGGTGTACTGTGATTTCTTATATCTTATTTGATATTTCAAAAAATATACCTTATGTTTCATTTTATAGTGCTTATGTTCCATAAAATATATGTGTTGTTTCATATACTAATGATATTGTTTTTTGTATTGGGACACAAAATCTGTCAAAAACTGTCATTATTATATGCTTTTTATTATTTATTGTATTGAAACACGTTAATTTGCATTGGAAAACCAATAGATTGTTCAGTAAAATGCAAGGTTCACATAAATTCGAACGTTACGTTAAAATGTAGTTGAAGTGTACGTCATTAATGATGTTTCGTAAAATATATCAAGTGTTTCAATTTATAACATTAATGTTTCATATATATTATTGCTTGTTTCATATAGTTGAGCTCTATATGAGCAAGGTTTACTGTGATTTCTTATACCTTATTGATGTTTCAAAAAACATACCTTATGTTTCATTTTATACTACTTATGTTCCATAAAATATATGTATTGTTTCATATACTATTGATTTTGTTTTATACATAAAAATCATTGATGTTTCATATAATATTTCATTCGAATATTATTTATATTGTTCCAGAAATATGAACTATTGTCCCATAAATATTATACATTGTTCCATACCATATGTGTGAAATGTACTAATGACTGAAATGCGTGTTACCAAGAAAATTAAAAAGCATGTACCAATGACTGAAATGCGTGCTCCTAAGAAAATGCATGGGAAAGTGATAATTAATCTCAACCATCCATAATCTCAAATTGATGGTGTAAGATTGGTTCTTATTTTAAGAGGGTTCTCATATAAGCCTTGGTTCTCACATGATCCCACCCCTATATATATATATATATATATATATATATATATATATATATATATATATATATATATATATATATATAAATAAATAAATAAAGGAAAACAAAACATGGATAATCAACAAATTTTTAATGATTAACACGGACTATAAGGCGAATAGAGGTAGCTTATAGATTCATACAAATATGCGACATGATTACAACTGTATATTTATGGACTAAGAAAATAAAACAACAGATCATAAATATGATTTAATAAATTGAATTGCAACATCAATACAAGGCTAGTAAAATTCAATATCACGTGATAGCAATTAGCAAACAAGTAACAAACAAAGATGTTGTAATTCGGCAGTTCGTCACTAACAAACAAAAGGACCAAATTTTTTATGATTGTAATCAAAACAAAGTGGAGGTAATTACACTTACCTCAACGGGACAAAAACTATTGTGTACGAATTGTATATTTCATCAACTCGATTAATTGAGGTTGGTGCAACAAGCCAACTAGCAATAATGTTTCCTCCGATTCCCGATAACTTAAGCGATGGTGCCGATAACGTATTATGAAATAAGCGCTGGTGCTGATAAGGTAATTGTGTTGTATCCTTCTCATTTCAATAGACCATGTTAATATGTTATATATACATGATGAGCATATGATAACCTTCATGGACAATTAAGGTTGCATTTAAGTGGGGTTTACAAAGGAGGTAATGGCAATGGGGGATACAAGGAGGTTACAATGGGTGGCATTATACTAAGGGGGCGTTTGGTTCGCGCAGGGGATTCAGAATGGAATGAATCCAGGGAATGCAGGAGAAAGGAATGGGTTGACCCTGATTTAGCCTGGTTGTTTGGGTGTATCCAGGAAACGGAATGAACTGTTCATTGATTCCCTTTGTGACTGTTTGGTTCAAGCCAGGGAATGAAATTGTCATTTTTTAAATTCCTGTATTATATGATAAACCTGTGAAATCATGAATTAATACTTGAAGACCTTGTTATGAAAAAGTTAAGCAAAAAAAACTATAAAGACATTATAAAAAAAACTATAAATAACATTTTTCATGCTCCATTGATTACAAAGTACTTGTTCATAGATAAAAGTTCATACCAAAAGTATTCTAATAAGATTGACATTCAACCAAAGTCTTTGCCAATAATCCTTCCTAATACAAAACCATACATAAAACCATAACATAAAATTTATTAGGCACTACCATCACCGCTTCCTCCAAGAAGACTCTTAACATAAGCACCTTTCAAAGCATCCGGACACTTTGAAAATATCATGAGCTTGTTAGGTTGTGCGGTTAGAATGTTAGCCACTTCAAAAACTTGGGTAGGAGTGACACCTTCAAGATTAAAAGAGAGTAGTTCCTCTAGCACTTGTTCACTCTTTTCAACTAATTTTTGCTCTCTTTCATCCGCACGTTGTTCACGATCATCAGTGCGTGCCATCACAGTAGCCATAGTGGAAAGATGAACATTCATGTCTTTCATAAATGCTTGTAAGCTAGCGAGCTCATTAGAACTTCCGGCACCACCACTTCCTCTCTTACTTTTTTTTGTAGTGTTTTCAATCTTGATCTTTTTATAAGGAGGAGAGGTAACAGTTTGAGTGACATTACCACTACATAGAACATCCTCATCATCACTTGAATCAAGTGTAACTTGTGGAGGGGCAACTTTTTCCAAGTTGTTGACTGCATCAGCAAAACCTTCAGCTGGTTTTCCAGTAGCATAGTCCTTGCCATAAATTTTCTCGAGTTCATGAAAGTGGGGGAAAGAAATTCCATACAAGTTTTTGCAATTAGGATGACTCTGGAAGACATAAAAATGCTCATCAACGACATCAAATACACAACATACAGCCATATCAAATGCAACAACCATATATTTCTAAATGTTGGTTCAATTTGACTAGGCATATTTTCCAATGAACAATTATAATCTCATAGCAATCAACCAATGTAATCAACAATCCATGAATTTCAACAAAAAAAAAAAAAACAGATTACTCACTATAAAAGGACCTTAAAAGGGGGTGTACCTTGCAAAACTCGTCATAAACAGCCCGGTCCACAGAAACCATTTTTTTTTCATCATCCCAAACGAATCCACTTGTATTTAACATTTGAGAAATAGCCCTAAACTTGGCTCCAAGTGTCTTAAGCCGAGAGTCAATGTGTGGTGTAGCCTTTAAACCACAACCAGGAAGAGCCTTACCTATGACCTCCTCCAAGCGAACCATATAGCCGCTTCTGAATCCATTTTCACACCTCCAGTGAGGATCTACAACTAGCTCTGACAATGCTTCCACAAGGACTTCATCTTCTTGAGCAGTCCAAAATCGTTTGTTTCTCCCCCTTCCACCTCCACTTGCACTACTTTCTTCCATAATACTACATTTGAACCATATTAACATGACATATACATAAGAATATATATAAGAATAAAATTAACATTGTTCAAAAAACAACCCCTTCTACCAAGTCTCAACAATACACCAAAAAGCATCATAAATTCAATGAATCTCCAGTGAGATAAAAGAACCTTCAAAGTTGATCTCAAATCCAGTTTAACTCCATTTAACCTTTAAGTTATAATTGTGAAGCTAAACCCACAATTTGAGGCAATTCTAAAGAAAGGGAGGAATTTCGAAGAAAATAGACTATACCCATTAACAAACTATGACAATAATCTGCAAATTTAGAGTCATTGGGTCAAAACTATGACAATAAGTACGGCAATCAACAGTTCATAGCATGAAATCCCCACCTCCAAGATTAGCATTTGGAGAACACAAACAGGTAAATAAAAAATTTCAACAATTCATGCAAATTATAAGCTCATAAGAGCATCAAAGTGTATAAAAGAAAGAAGAAGAAAAAAATCATTATTCATACTTGGAATAATTTTTTGAGGTGGGTTACCTTAAATCGGAAAGAAAGAGTTTATCGTCGATTTCAAGGAAGAGGAAATGCGCTGCAAGAAAACATCAACACATATACTGGTGGGTATTATAATGAAATTTAAAAAATCTAAAGATCACATCTACCTTGAACAAACACGAAAATAGCGAATTCTGAAGTTAGGGTTTACCTTGAACAAGCTGACGGTGATCGCTGACGGTGGTGGTCGCTGACGGTAGTCACTGACGGTGGTGGTCGCTGACGGTGCTCGCCGAGAGGAGATGAAGAAGAGGGGTGCTCAGAGAGAGGAGATGAAGAAGTGGGTAAAGAAGAGGGGAATGGGAATGCAAAAGTCAGGGGGGGGGGTAGGGAATGAGATTAGAGGGATTTTAGGTAAAGTGAAAAATAAAAAAGGGTAAAGGGAATGATTGAAATGGAAAAACAAACGACAAGAAACGGAATCATTCCCATTCCGTTTCCTGAAACCCCCCAACCAAACGCCCCCTAAGGGTGTTACAAGCCATAATGACCATCCACAATAAATATATTTTATAACAAATTTTAATTTGAATTTGCATTAATGTCAATTCGGTAGACAACCAAAAGTGAAAATAAATCAATAATGGGGGCTGCCGCAGGATTTTTTTTTTTTTTTTCCTTTAATTTTTTGATTTTATTTTTTTGATTTTTATTTTATTTTTCAACCAATTATATAATAGCACATGTCCTATGTTAGCTGTTATATAATCTGTCAAAGTTGAAATTATTAAAAGTAAATGAGTGAGAGTGGAATTATTAAAACCGATTTTTTCTAATCTAAAACCCTGATATTAGAACTTAGAAGTAGAAGAGTGGTGAAGGGGTTTAACACATCGCTCTAATGGCTGCTCTTTCCAGAAACTCTTCTCGAACTCTTCTTCGCTTCAGTCTTCATCAATGGCGGTCCTTCACTAGAACTTCTCCTTCTTCTCCTGCACATCCATCTCATCTCCTTCCTTCTCTCTCTCGCCGCTCTCTTCCATTTCTCAACACGGTTCTCTCTCTTCTTAAAATTCCATCGTTTCTAATTTTTATTTTTTCGATTTCCAAATTCGATTTGTCATATTGATTTGATTGTATTTGTGTAGGTTCGAGATCAGAAATTCAATACTTTCGGATTGTATGAAAGATTTTTCTGCACTGCTTCTTCATCATCTTCACCAAGTGGTGGCTCTTCCTCTTCTGCTGCTGCTGCTGCGAAGAACTCCGAAGTGAAGAATTCTTCGGGAGATAAAGCGAGTGATGGAGGTAACTCTCAAGGTTCACAACAATCTGGTGATGCTGGAAAATCTATTCGAGGATCGGTAATTTCGATTCGTTATTTTTAATTTTTGCAATTCGATTGTGTTTTTAGTGATCTGGAAATTCTTCTGATAATGTGAAATTCAATTGCTTGTATTTGTTTGCGTTTAATCTATTCTTTATACTTCGTATATTAATTTCAGACCATTATGTTCGTTAATAGAATGTTTGCGAATTTTCTTTCATAATCCTAGCCAATCAAGTAGATTTGTTAGTTTTTGCTTTGATTTTAGAATGAGAGTAAATATGTATTTCGATTCATTCTAGACCTTCGACAACGTTTTCAGTTTTGAAAGCTCATCAATCCAGAAAGTAACTTTACATGTCATTTCTCAAGATTATAGCTCATTTAGGTGTTAATTAGATTTATTTTAGTGTCAACGAGTGTTTTTTAAGTATGTTAATAAGGATTATATTAGTGAAAGATTGGTCTTAGAGACGGTGAAAAGCAAGTGTGAAGTTATAATTGGATGGGGCGAGTAGTAATTAACACAGTATTAACTGAGGTTTTCAGTATTATAGTATACTTGAAAATTGACTTCAATTTTCAGCTGTGTTTTATGGATATTGGATATCATTCATATAAGGATATGTAGCATATTCTATTGGCTATATTTTGTCTCTGAATTTGTGATAGTGTAACCGTTGCTTAATTATCTGGTCATTCCTGATTACTGATGGGTGGGTGTTATGTTGTTTATGTGCAGCCTGTTTCATGGATGAGCTTGTTTTTGTTACTTGTTACGGGAGCTGGGATCATTTATTACTATGACAATGAAAAGAAGCGGCATATTGAAGGTAGACTACTATGGTGAGTTTTTATTTGAGTGTTTGGGAAATAGAAGTGGAATGTGACTATAATACTCTTGGGATGAGTGTTCGAGATTTGAATGACTAATTTGGCATGATTAAATTAGTGATGTGCGGAGCTTTCAGACCGAGACACAGATAATTTTAAAGTGTAGGTCAAATGGAATTTCTTACTACGTATTTTCAGAGTTCATATCAGTGATATCAGATGGTCTAGCTTTGTCTATAGTTTAATTTGTTACCTATAAAATCATTTGTGCAAGTATCGGTCTACCAGGAATATATTAAGAATGTCTTATCGTGCATTTTTGGAGTTATTTCAATGACGTTTGCCAGATAGAAGGCCTCTGCTTATCATAATAAAACTTTTCATTTTGCACCACAATGAAATGGGTGTTCCCTTTTGACCTTGACTTCTGAGGCCTTCAATTCAAGTTATAGGAATATTATTTTTTAAATTGTAGGTTTAAGGCTGTGTACAGTTGACATGTTCATTTAGACTGGCAGAGCCCATCTGCTTTGACATGATTTATCTGGCTGTGCTGCTCAGTCATTCTAGATACTAATTTGAATTCATACTAAATGTAAAATGTTATTGATATCTTTTAAGTGTGTTTTAAGTTTATCAGGTTTTCTCAAGGTTGTTTTAAACAACCCATCAGTAATTTGGTTTGAGTTGCTATACTGAAGGTATACGCCTTGCTTTTTCTAACGGAAACAGATTTGTTTGATTTTTTTGCTTAGTTGTGTAAAAGACTGAAAATATCTTTCTTTCCTTCCTTTGAAAACTGGCCAATGTCTTCAGCCTATCTTTCTCTTCTTTAACAATATTCAAATCAATGAAATTCCTACTTTGACCTGTCTGCAGAAATAAGCAATGCGTCAAATGCGGTGAGACAGGGACCATCTGTGGGACAGGCAGCTATCGGGGGCCCATTCAACCTTGTCAATCATGAAGGGAAAAAGGTGACTGAAAGAGATTTTCTTGGTAAATGGACAGTGTTGTATTTTGGCTTTACTCATTGCCCAGATATTTGCCCCGATGAGCTCCAAAAACTAGCTTCTGCTGTTGATAAGATAAGTAAGTTGCTGCAGTTTTTGTGAACTAGTTTAATTCTATTGTGGATGCTTGCCTTTCTGATGAAATTGCAACTGATATAAATGCAATGGAAGTGCTGCTGCCTTTTACCTTGAGCTACTGTTTGGTAATATTGCTATTAGTTGCTATCAGTACATGTAAGGGAAAAGAATGCTTGGAATTGGTAGTACTTATCGTGCTTAGCAGCTAGCTTACATGGAAGAATTACATGGTATCTATGCAGTGTTTACAAATTGACAAAAACAGGTTTTCCCCATGCCTGGACCCTTCTTCCTCTTTTTTGTTTTGTATTTGTGGGTGTAGGTGAAAGGGGATGATCTTCTTGGTTCTGTGCAAGTATTGTAAACTCTCTGTGTTTCTGTTTAGTGGCTATCCAGAAATGGGGGAATCTCATAATGGGAATCTTCAATAGAATATGATACTTTATTCAGGATATACTCCCTCCATCTCCAATTACTTGCCCCAACTTGTTTAAATGCCTCTACATATATTTTATTATTTTCTCCATTTGTTTTATGGTGAGTTTTTCTCTCTACATTTAAATTTGGTTCCTCAAACTCACTTATCCACTTTTTTTCTCCTGACATATTAACTGTTCTTCAAAATGCCCATTGTCTCATGGAGCAAATAATTTGAGACCAAGGGGAGCCATGGTGTATTCCTGTATATGCTTAGACCACAAATTGAGTTTGTTTGTGATTTTATGCCAACATTTCTTGTTCTTGTGCAGAAGAAAAATCAGGAATTGAGATAGTGCCAGTTTTCATCTCTGTTGATCCGGAAAGAGACACTGTTGAACAAGTCAGTGAGTATGTGAAAGGTACAGATCAGAATCGTCTATCAGTTTCTGGACATATGCCTTTTTTAAGGGAAAGAAAAGATAAATTCTCAGGGTCTTCTTGATTTCATAGATAATACTCCGTATTATACATTTGCAATTGCATGAGGTGTAAATTTTACTGTTGTTGTAAATGGCCCTGATTTCTGTGTTGCTCACACCACCTTCTCATTGTTCTAAGTATGGCAATCGTTATTGCTTATTAAAACATACACGCATGATAGTACCTTGTCTCATTTCTTATTGTTTTTCGTTTCACCTGGATTAATTGCAGAGTTCCACCCGAAATTGATTGGATTAACTGGTGATCCAGAAGAGATTCGGAAAGTTGCTCGTGCATACAGAGTATATTACATGAAGACAACAGAGGAAGGCTCAGATTATCTTGTTGACCACTCTATAGTCATGTATGTATTACTTCCTTGCTTTAATGCATCTCTCTAGAGTCTAGGCTCACTTTTCTTCTTTTTGATTAATTCATCATAGGATTAAGGGGGCATTTCCCAATTTTATACTCATGTTTAAATTTAGGGATGTCAAGGATCCTAGCCGAGGCGACTAGGCGAGTATTAGCCTATGCAAGCTAAGCTTGATTAAAAAAAAAATGCGCAAGCTTTAGCTTGAGCCGAGCTCAATTGAGCTATCAATTTGTCTATTTGAGCTGGGCTGGTTTAGGTATTTGTTATTTAAGCTCGGCTCATGATAGCTGCTATACATTTGAGCTGGAGCCGTCAGGCTCGAGCCAAGATAAATCACAATTATACTGAAATTAGCTAGTATGAATGGTAAGTGCCTTAGGTAGCAACATGTCTCAGTGATGAATTATTACAGAACAGTATTAAGTTTATCACAAAGTATATTTTAATTACCATTATGCCTAATTCTACTTCAAGTGCTTGTTCATCAAATGCAATCTAATTGAATGAAAATGGTAGGAATGCTGTTATATGATTTACATCAATCTTGATTTTCCTTGTTGCTATTAAGGCATTGTTGTATTTTGCAGGTACTTGATGAGCCCAGAAATGGAGTTTGTGAAATTCTTTGGAAAGAATAATGATGTTGATGGACTTACCAATGGTATGATCAAAGAGATAAAGCAGTACAAGAAATAGGCAACTATCAGGGAATTTATTCATTCTGCAAATTAGTATTTACAAATTTTGAGGCATTTGTTCATCTCGGATAATATTCACTCTGCGGTCTGGAAAACATTTACTGAAATTTTTGATGTGGAATCGGCATTATGCAACTTACCTTCAATATCATAAAGTAGTTATATGGCTTTTTAGTTTAGAACAAACTTTGACATGAAATGTAACTCCTTTCCGGCTTCCTGCCTCCAAATAAATCTTCCTTGTGGAGTTGTGGTACAAAAGTTGAGCAGGATAATTTCTTTGTTGGGTATGAATCTTGGTTTACAAATTCAAATGTGATCCTAGGCAGTA